CACGAAACGCACGAAACGCACGTGCGTCACGTACGCAATGACGGACCGTAAGTAAAGTCAGCCAATCGGATTGCGCGCCACGCGCGAAATCAATATCGGCCGATTCGTGATTAATGGCAGCGACGCGGATTATTATTCGGTCAAATTATCTGTTTTTGCCCGCGGATTAATTTCGTTTTATCGGTCGTCCGAGTGTTGTGCGCCGAAAAGTTCATCGTCCGGCAATCGTGCGCCTGATAATTACCAAGATGACTATTTATCGTGCAATCAGGTCGGATTTCGGAGTCCTCTCGCCGCCGTTCGGGCGTTCCGACGGCGTCCTCGAGGGGTTTTTTTTTCTTTTTCTTTTTTTTTCTTCAGTGCACCACGAGAATTATGCCAGCTGCTCTATGCGGACTGAGGAGCTGTCCGCACATGGGAGAGGGTGAAGAAAAGGGGGATTGGGGGACAACGGTTGAAAGGCGAGCAGAGAAATCCCGCGGATTTCGAGCCAGCCTCGTCTCCCCCGTTTCTTTCGGTATTTGGGATCTACGCGCGCCCCACGGGAAATCGTCCTGAGCGGTGTGTTCCATCCGAAACAGGTCTTGGAGATCAGCGGGTTACACAGAAGGAAAGCGCCTCTTCCAATTTGACCGTGACAAATCGTAGTCAGAGGTTGACTGCCTCTCAGGACCCCCGATCGATCGGTATTACACGGTGATATTCGAGGAAGTAGGACGGTCCATTAACGCGAGCCGAACGAGTTGCCTCGTTGCTTGCGTGTCTCGTAATTGCACCGTACAATTAGTGTTAAATGCGATCGCCCCGATTCTCCGCTTGTGATCGTATATACCCGGGTTAGAATTTCGGAGCAACATAAAATTACGGTCTCCGATCCGTTGCAAGCGCATTGCGATGAAATTGCATCAAAAGCGGAGGAAGTCGAGCGTGATTTATTTGCACTGTACGTCGGAATAAATTATTATTTTTTTCCCCCGCTCAATTTATTTCTGTTAAAAATAAATTTTGCGATTTCATCAAGATTTATAGCCGTGAATTCATGAATAAAAAACAAGTCTTCGGTATATTTAATAAATTTATTCTATCGAATACGAGATGTGACAGGCCGAAACAAAAGTTCGTAGCTCTATGGAACTTCGAAATTCAAGCAGCTGCAATTTCTCGTTAAAGATGAATGACATTTAAATTTTTTAATAGGCTTTTAAAGCTTAAAACCTCTACTTTCGAAAGATCACTATGTCTTTTGACAGTTTTCGTGAGTTTCCGAACTTTTCCATAGAAAACTACGGAGCTGAACAAATGAGTAAGTTTCTTTTCACTGAGCCTGTCACGTATCCAAAAAAAAAAGCTTCCGAAAATTTTCTACTTTCTAACAAACTTACTCAACAAAATCGTTTTTCGAAAATCGTTTTCCAAGATTTCTTATTATTGAATAAACACGAATTAAATAAAAGGAGCATTTTTACTGTAATCGCTCATAACTCCGTTAAAATGAAAACTCTACTTTATCGAATGGTATAATTGACAAATTCTTTTACAAAAAAGAAATGATACAAATTCGGTGGCGCTACGAACTTTTGTGTTGCGCGATTCGATAGAAATTCATTCCTGCGAATAAAGCAAGGAATTCGTACAACTTCGTACTTTTCTGATATTACAATTCGATTGCTATCGCAGCGACTGATTGGAAGATTTAAAAACAAATATTGTAATTCACATTTAGACTTTCACATAGAGCCTTTTACATAGAGCGGGGAATTTTAGTTCTCGCGTAATTTCGCGCGTAATTCAGATTCCTTCGCTGAAAGGCCGACAAGGGTAAAGGTTGTTGGCGAAATAAAAATCCGCAACGTTGTACGTAGATATAATAGCGTTCACGTTCGTCGGCGGCAAACAAAGGGATAAGGCCCCAGCTACGATGGAGAACGCGGACCCACCTTGTACGGTCACGATCGAAAGTTATCTGAGCGGCGCACGCGAGAGAATGAACGCAAGAGCAGATTATATTAAATGGCTGGTAAAACGGTCTGCTTAACATAGCGTTTATCTGCTCCTCTCGGTTTAGTACTTTTTCACTGCCTCGTCAGCCATCGCCCATAAACTCGACTATGACTATCTCGTCTGTCTCTTTTCCGCTCTCGTGCGACGCGAGAAGGAGACAAGCTCTCTCAGTACATTTTTTCCGCGCGCACGCGTGTAGCACTCTGCACGCAGCCGGGCCGGAACTCATAAAAGATACAGGACCGTTAAAACGGTTCATCGTCTCGAGTGCTCATCATACTTTGACGCCCTTTTTGTTTATGATAAACTCAAACTAAAAAACTTCCTCTATTATTCTTCGCGCCTCTCCTCTCTTTTTCTCCCATCGAAAAATCAAGTGCTCTTCAATGTGCAGTCCACATAGACATTGATCATTTTATTTTATTTATTTATTATTTGAGCTCTAATAAAAAAATCTAGAGTTATAAATATTTACGGAATAAATACGGCAGGATAAAGGTATACATACGCTCTAAAATATATGAATGTAAATTTGACATTATGGGTATTATAATAAATATAATTCTCACCGTGCTGGTGTGAAATTACACGCTGATAAAATTCACATGTTTATATCAACACCAACACAGCGGGAATTATATAAACCGGCATGGTATTAAATCCATATTTTTTAGTATGTAGAATACATCTACAATAAAATTCGAAATGTCTCAAATATTCTTTTTTTTTTCCCCCAAAATATTACCAGGTATACATATTACTTTCCAACGAAAAACACAGTGATCGTATCATCTCTGTTTGACATTAGCAAACAATAGCAATGTAATGTGTGTTACTCGGTGTCTCTTGCTGGAAAACACACCCATTATATCGAGCGTATTGTAAATTTTTATATATAAAATATTCAAGGATATGTCAATAAAAAAAGTCATAAAAATTATTAAGGCAATTCTGAGAACATCTTGGCATTTTAATAAAATGCACATTCATCTCTTTAGATAATAATAATTACCTTAATAAAGTTTAAAAAGTTTTCCGCGTAGAACATCTGTGCAGATACTACAATTTCCTAACCAAATATCGTGAGATCTTTTTTGCTATGATTTAACTGTACAAAACTGAAGTAGAAAGGTCAATATCTCCGTGAGCCCCGAGGCAAAGTACAATTTAAAATCCCAGTATAACCGGATGACGACAAACGAGAATACAACGAGGGAGGGATAAAAGTAATGAAAAAGCATAGGGTTACAAAAATGCACAGGCATTCGAAGATGCGTTAGTAAAAGGCACACGATTACGTCCACGCCCAAATTCCTCCGAAAAACAATCAATAGCGATCTCGTTCTCTCTCGATCGCGAAAAAGACATCCTTTCGTCGCGTGTGTACCCAACGCCCATTTGGAAATATCAAAATGTTACAGAAACGTGGGATGTCGTTGTTGACGTCACAGCCTGTGCTGCGCCAACGACACCCTCGTGTCTCCTATTTGTGTGTGTGTGTGTGTGTGTGTGTCAGTGCACGTATGAATGCACATACACACGCACAAACACACACCGCTGGAGAAGCGATGGGAAAGAGGGTAACTTAGTACGAGGGGCGTGGTGTGGTGTGGTGTGGTCCTTCCACCCCCAACGGGCAGCGAATACTTTTGACGTAACTTCCATCCCCACTTCCTTTCCGGATTTCTCCCTCTTTGTCTCTTAGTCCTCCTCGATCGTGTCCCCCAGAAATAATTGCGCGTTTCGCGGTCTCTCGATCCGCGCGTAAAAGTAATCCAAACATCGCATAAAAATTATGTTTACGAGTTTCGAATGGTTCTCTCGCAGGGGGTCGAAGGGTCGCGCGGCCGAAGGGTGGTCGAAGGGAGCGTCAAACGTGAGTTGCACTGTCGCAGATAGGGATCTCTCGCAATTTTTCGACTTCGCTCTACTGCACACGCTTACGAGTCGCGACACAACAGCCCGTTATTCATGAACAAGTTACGATCTTTTTCACGTTCGGAGAGATTAAATCCCGGCGTCGGCGGTCTCTCTCGGCGTGCTCGATTTTCAGTGTTGATACACCTTGAAATACAGTCTTATCGCTCATTATCAGGCTTCTGTCGCAACGACCCAAAGATCGTAAGAATCGGATCTTAACAAGCGAAGCTCAACATTCTTTTAATAAGATATGAGGACAATTTCAGTAGCACTCTCTTTCCATAGTTCTGCAGTTCCTTATATAAAAAGAGGTCTGCACTTTTTATATTGAAAAACTAAAAGAGAATACATATGGTATGTATTAAATTTTGGTTTTTTTGGTTATAAAATAATGCGAAACTTGTTTTTATTTTTATTAGGAACTGTATCATAGGAACTGCCGAACTATGTAAAGCGCCACTCGAACTGTCATTTTTTTTTTCCACATTAAGAGAATGCAGGAATCTTCTCTGCACGTATGTACTATAAAGCGTTGAAAACCGAGGCCGTCTCGAAACTGTGCCGATTTCGATCGGCGATTCCGAGGGAGTTAAAAACGCAATTTAAAAATCAATTCCAAATACCACAACTAGGCGCCGAAAGTCGGCGCTTTAAATAAGACCTATGATTTATGACGTACAATAACTCGCGCGCACGGACGAATGGAACGAAACTTCGCTCGAGCATAGATATATAATCAATGACGCTGCAAAAATAATAATGCATTCTCATAACATTCAATTTCTGCATCACGTGAAATACATATGTATAAAAATACCGCGGTACTGCCAATCTAATACGAGAGGGGCTGAAAATACATTGGAATCCGCGGTCTCTGTGACAAGATGAGTCTCTGTCGCCAAACGAGAGTTGTCTGTCACACATCCGAAAAGTAATTCATTTAAAAATTCCATTCATCCGTTAGCGCGGTACAAAATAGGCGAGTCGTCCGCACGTAAAGTTTAATGATCCGAGCGGTGCGAGTTGAGCGTGGCAAAAAGAGCAAATGCCCGTGTTGTTGCAGAGAAAAGATCACTCACCTGTCTTCTCCTTGATCTCGCAGAGGACCGAAAAGAGGGCAGGCTTCATCCTGTGGCAGTTGAGGGTGTGTTTTCTGCAAGCAAATCGCGAACAGATTAGCTCGGCGTCGCTATAAAAAGTCTTTGTGGCTATTATAGCGTACACTTGTTACTTAAAATGAAACAGATATACGAAATAGATATTTAAAGTTTGGCGAAAGCGAGGAAAATCTTGCAGTCTGATATAACAACAAAGAACAGACCTAAAGTCACAAAAGACGATTGACCTGGGTTTTTCGACAAATTCGGGACGGATCCTTCGAGGGGAAAAAAAAGGACGCTTTCCAGTAAAAAAAAAACACACTGAGAAAAAAAAACATCTTAATATAAAAAATAAACTATTAGGACCCGCCAAATAAATAACTTTTTTTTTGTATTGAGTAAAATCTTTTTGTATCAAGATACTTTGCTTAGTACAAGGAAATTATTTATTTGACGAGTCCTGATAGCTTTTTTTTTTTCTCTATCGAGACATTTTTTCCTCGTACAGTAAATCATGACATTTTTGTGTAGCACTGTTAAACAAAGATGAAATTATCACTGTATTGCACAGTATCTCTTGTTGAAAAGTTCCACCGGAAGAGTTGCCCCCGAGAGTTCGTTTCGAGAGAGAAAAAAGTCGTATGACGAAGGAAGACAAATCTAGATACCATCGCTCCGCATACAAATTACACGAAATTATAACTACCGCCACCGAAATTAGCGAGCGGCTCAGCGCTAATAAAGGCAATTCGCTTAATTCAACGCCGGTATGCTTAATTGAGGACCGCGATATTTAAATGGCTGACGTTTAACGCACGTCGCGAAAATTACAAGTGTCTCGCTGTTGCGCTCCGTGTAAAATGCACGTATTCGTGGGAGGCACATCTGGGCGCTCTTTGTAGCGGGCGTCCAACACGCGGACAGGTACTTAATATAACTTAACATACATGAGCGAAGCCAGGTGAAACGGGCAGCCACACTTAGCCGCGTGTGTGTACACAGACGAGACAGTTTAAATGCAAGAAGTTCGGAGTATCATCGGTTACTACGTTTCTATTTTTTTTTTCTTCGTAAAACGTGTTCTCTACATCTGTTTACTCGTTAAATTGCAAAAAAAAAAAAAAAAAAAAAATAAGAAACGCGGCATCAATCTCTTCGCGGATCGATAGATCCTATCTAGACAAATGCCTCGCGGGTCCATGAAATTATCATAAAAAGATAGAGAGGATGTTTACCGGGATATATATTCCGTAAGATAAATCAGGCTGATTAATGCGCTAATGAATAACACGCGCATAATTAGCTAAGTATACACATCGAGACCCGCAGTTACACAGTGGAAGCACTATTATCACTCGTCGTTAATAAGCACATTGCACGTTTTATAATACCGTATAATTAACTGCAAAGATTGTGCAAAATGCCTCCCCCCCCCCTCCACCGCGTGTTCTTTTTTGAATTGATATACGAGATAAGAAGAACGAACGAGACGTATTTTTTGCGTGGCGTTGCGAGAACCGACGAGCGGTGTAACATGGATACATTTTGTAATCTATACGATTTAATGCGTTTCCGTGAACCCGCCGTAACCCGGGGACCCGAAATAAAACCGCGTGTACCGTATTTTATACGCGGGTATCGTCTTGCTTTTATGAGAATTTCGTTTACACAGTACTCCTCCTCCCGGGTAGTAACGAATCGACCTCGTAAATCGAAAGTACCATTAAACCTTTAATTCCGCTATTAACGAGCCGTAAACATAATTTTCTGCTCCGACGTAACGCTGATAGACCTTACGGACACTTTAGCGCCGAAGTAGTTGTGGCAATTAAGAATACGACACTACTTATTTTAACTATAAAGTATAACCGATGGTGTAAACATGAAATAAATATATAAGAAATGTATAAGAAATTTAGAGAGTAGCATTTGAAAGAGTGACTCCATTTTTTCAATCTTTAAGAGTGAAAGAACTTTACCTTTCAAAGCGAGAATCATTCAAAAAGTTTTAGAAAGTGAAGTTTTAGAAAATAATCATAAATATGCGACGGCTATTGCAAGTTGCCGGAAGTGAACAAAACAAATTCAAGGACGAACGAGCAGGCATTCGAAGACATTTGAAAGGAAGAAATTTCGGTATTGAAATACATTCGATACGGTATTGAAAAGGTATTCAATGTGAACAAGATCAAAGGACGCATCCCGCGCGCAAGCAGATAAAAAAATGGCGGAGCGAAAAAGGAGGAAAGAGGATAGGAGAACGGCAAATACCTCGCTTGCGCCTCGTCCAGACTCTGATCCGTGATGTTCATGATCTGCTGCAGGATCTCGCCGATGTCCTGTTTCCTGGCCTCGACCGCCTGGTCGGGGCCCTGAGCCGCGGTGCCGTCGACCGGGCCCATGCTGCCGTAGCCGGCGGTGTTCTGGGCCGCCTGGCCCTGGTTTCCACCCATCAGACCCACACCTGATCCTCCGTGTTGCAGCATCCTGCCAGTCTCATCCATCAACCGAATGCTCACGCTACTTCACTCCCGGTTCGCGTGTATATACGTACACGCGTGCCGTGTGTCGCCTTGGGGGGAGGGGAGGGGGGGGCTCCTCTTTATTTATTTCTTTCTTTTTTATTTATATCCGCTACGTCGTGGCGCCCAAACGTGACTGACGGAGCGCGCGCACTACTCGCACTACACGCACGTAACGGATCTATCTACGCGTTATAATCGTATACCAGGTGTCGCGAAAGAACGCGTAACAAACTTGAACAGATCTAACCTTCTCGATCTATCGACTATCTTCCAGCTCGACGGACGTTGCCGCTGGCCGGATGTTGATGATGCACGTGCTTTCTCTCTCTCCAGCAGTCTCCTCTTCCCTTTCCCAGATAACGTGCCTGAATCGTCGCTCTAGTAGAAGGCGCGCGTTGCACACTTGCAAAAATATATTCTCTCCCTTTCTCTATCCCCGCAGTGAACGAACACCTCGTGACTTGGACTCGCGCAACGATCTCCGAAACGCGCGGCGCGAAACGATCGACGACTTGGAGGTTATGCCAACGCCGCGGTCTTTGTCCTTCTGCGTGTCGTACGGCGCTTTTAACTCCGTCCCGTTTTCCTGTCTCCTTCTCCCTTCGTCGCTCTCGCTCGCTCCCGCACCGTAGCACGCTTACCTTCTCGCTTGGCGATGCACTTCTATCCTCGTTCGGATCTCACTCGGTGCCACTCTCCGCTCCGGAGATGCACTTTTAATTATCGTATTTTAAAATCTGGTATACACAATATAGGGCAAGTAGAGAATAGGATCTCCTCCGGTGGCTCTAACATTGACGGATTGTCGGATTTTACGTATACGCGGTTATATTGAGACGGTCGGCGTCGCGCCCGGACCGCACTCCTTCCCTCGAGCAGCACACTATGTATATATCTATATATATATATGTATATATATAATCTCTCTCTCTCTCTCTCTCTCTCTCTCTGTCTTTCTCTTTCCCTCTCGGATAATCGGTGAGGTTCTACGGCTCTTACTCGCTATGGCTGAAGATCAGCGTCGTTCTCCGAGCCATCCGCGCCACGAACGTCGCACACGAAGCTTTCCACCTCAGAAAGAAACTGCGACGACGGCGACGACGACGACGGCGACGACGACGCGCGCGGACCGACCGTTTCCGTCGCTCTTCTCACTGTCCTCGGTCACTCGAGCGACTGCTATGCGGCTCGCGGGTGTAGGTGCGCGTCCGTGCTGTGCCCTCGGGTATATGCGTGCGATACGCCAATCGGCGGCCATAGCAGCCGCCGCGGCCAATCAGAGCGTCCCATGCATTTGCCTCCCGCACCGGCCGCCGCGTCACGGTCCCTCTTCCTTCCTCGCTCTCGCTCGTGACGATCCGTCGTTATCCGCGTGCGCATCCACGTTATTTACGGCTGCCCGACCTCACGGTGACTATACTCGCGATCTCATAACCTCCTCCAAGCTGACGTGCGATCCACGTTCTTTAGGGAACGGCGATCTCCCGAGGACGCGTCGTTCTCGACTCCGAAACAAACGCGCGTCTCCGTCGCAAACTTCACACCATACACAGATGTAAACTCCGCCCACTATCTCTCTCTCCCTCCGTGACGGTCGTGCTGTTCCTTTTGCGCACGCGACGTTCCCAGTCACGGCGGTCACGTTTCTCGCCGTCGCCGAGCGATACGCCGAGTCGAGGAAAGGCTCGCTGATACTCACGGATCGCGATGACGTACTTCACACGAAAACCTGCTGCTGAAACGAGAACAAACGAGAGAAGATCGTGTGCGTGAGAGAGTCGTAAATTACGATGGTGCGCTAGTGCGCAGTCTCCGTACGCACAAGATGGCCGCCCGCGCCAGGGGCGACCATGACTGGGAAGCGGGAAACGTAAATCAACCGCGTGGTATGGCGTGGCGTAGTATGGCATGAGCGGCATGACGCATACCACCGAGGCCGGTTTTTGAACGCGATTCTGAGTATAATAATCGCACGGATTATTTGTAACTGATCCTTCCGCCTTATAAAGCCTTATTAAATTTACGAAAATATCAATACTTTTTATATTATTCGAGTTGCCACCTCTAAAATCGTTCACATTTATTAATTTTTAGATCGAATAACAATTGAACACTTAAGATTAAAATATTTTAATTTAGATTGTATCTATAAAATGATTTTTTATATGTATATATATATAATAAAATTGCTGAAATTACTTTTAATCAAATATAAAAATTTAAAAACTCTCAGTTATATTGACTACATTTACACAGCACTCTTAATAGGATTTAATAACATCCGTAAATATAAAACTAGCCAATCGCAGTCATTTCATTCTTCCGAGGGACAACTATAATTGACCAATGTCATAACTATACAGGGTATCAATCATAAAATTTTATCCTTAGAATGAAAAGTGAAAAATGAAAAATTTCTCCATTAATTTCAATAGTAAAAATTTTCACTTTTCACTTTTTATTCTAGGAATAAAGTTTCATGATTGATACCCAAATGATATTAAACTCAACTAAGTGTAAATGTAGTCATAATTAACTATTTAAACAATTAACATAAAACTGGGTTTTCGTTTGAGATTAATTTAATCAGCCGATTATTTTACCTGTTATTCAACGTTATTTCGAATAGCGCTAATTGGATGTTTCAATAGTGCACTTTCTATTCCGCAGCCTTTTTCCGCACTATATGATTTCACCCTAAGAACGAATTATGAATTCCGGCCATAGATTTATAAGAGAAGCGCGACTGGTGTTAAGTGTTCTGATTGGTCATTGCAATTGCGTGATTAGCAGCCAATGATAAAATTATTTCCGCTAAAATAACTGCTTAATGAATAATTGATGGATTTTATAGTTTGTCATGCAAACGACATCATTTTTAGTAATTTTTCTAGTACTTTTTAGTACTTTTGCAATACTGACATAAATTGGTCGTGTTTCTCTTATAAATATAAAACTACCCAAATTAAGATGCCTTTTCATGTTAACGCTTAACGCTCATTTTCAGCGTCAAAATTCACGTGATCAAAATTGACGCTTGATATTTATCAATTAATTATCAATTTCTATCACGTGATTTATTTTGATGTCAAAAATGAGCGTTGAGCTTTAACATAAAAAAGCATCTTTAAATACACAATGTAAACTAAGCCATAGGCCCGTCAGAACGTGCTTACAACTAGAGTCTCTTTACAATAAGAGTCAAGTCGTGAAGAGCGGCGATTGGTCAGAGTTCAAGTCCCTTTAAACGCCGCAATTTGCGGATACTTTTAATGTAATAATGAATCTATGAATTGGTGTGAGCAACTGTTTTATGGTGTAGAAGGCGCAACGCGAAATCGGACTGTTAACTATGATGGAATTGTGTTGTTTCCGGCCGGTATCCCGCATCCGGCAATAACGTCCTTCCGTTCTTAACCTGGTTCTACATTAGTCACATCGCAGCATCACAAATGTTGCGATCCAATCAGAGTCAAACTAGCTTGATATTTATTGGATCGCAACACTTGCGACACTGCGATGTGATACTAATGTAAAATCAGCTTTATATCGTGACTTTTATTAAGCTGGTTCTACATTAGTTGCAAGCCAATCGCAAGATTGTTGCGACAGCCAATATGAAGCTTGCATTTTAAAATCAGCGCTTCATATTGGCTGTCGCAACAAACTTGCGATCAGCTTACAACTAATGTAGAACCGGCTTTATAAAATTTCAGAAATAAAAGTATGCTTTTATCTCTGAATGCGTTTCGAGTTACGCATGAAGCGCACGGTATATCATTTTATCTTTCTTTATTATTTGAAACAACAAGAACAAATAATGCATCGTGCGTTTCATACGTAACTCAAAACGCATCCTCTGAAATTCTATAAAAGCGCGTTCTGAATACAGGCCATAGTCTGTGCATATTGAACAACGTCAATAAAATATCGAGATTTTATTACGTAATCTTCTCTTATTACAATGTATTATATAAAAGAATCAATATTCCTTTAAAAATTGTTAGTATGCCCGCTTACACTGTTTCGTGGAAAATTGTAATA